ATCAATAGTGATGGGAACCGCTTTCTTCTTCTTGTCCTTGTTGCTGGTTCTTTCGGAGGATGCTGATGGTGACTGGTCTGCATGTAGAAATTTGCATTTGCTTCCAAAAGTACATGTACCCTTCTGCCACTGCCAACATACCCTCTTCTTCGGACCAGCTGATGAAGAACTTCCCTTACTCTTCCTTCCAGATGAATCTCTGCTTCGACTTCTACCTTTCTTGTCCTTCATCTTGGCATCATAGACTTTCTGTGAATGACTGTAGAGACACTTATCACCTTTGTTACATCCACCTTTATTGAAGAAGTAATTGCAGAAGATCTTCTTCTTGTCAGTGGGTGATGATGATCTCCCCTTCCCACCTTTGCCCTTGCCTTTCTTGTTCTTGTCGGCATGAGACTTCGGAGAAGGCGTAGGAAGAACAGACGCAGCTTCACTTTTTGCTTTAGCCTTCGGCTTCCCTTTGGGAGGATCACCAGCAGATGAAGCGGCTGCAGCGTCTTCCTTCTTTGTCTTGGTGGGGGCAGCAGTTTTCACGTCATCTTCCAAAGCTGGTGTTGTTTTGTTGGATGACAACGATATTTTAACTGAACGTTCCCTGTCTTTCAACTATCTTTCTTGCTTCCCTCTGGCAATGTATCCCTTGATCATGTTGATTAGGAAGTCATAAGTCTTTTCGTGATGCCCTTCGTCAAAGGTACGATATCGGCTGATATCAAAGTGCATGAGCTTTGAGTGTTCAATCTTCCGGAACAACGTGTCACGCAGGGAATTTGTAGAAGGCCGATCATCATGTTTCATGTTGTATATGATATCAAGCCAGACACTTGTTGTAGAAGGCCTCGAGTTGGTCATCTCCATAGTAGCTGAACATGTACAAATGATGAGCGTTGTAGAGAACTTCAGTATGGTCAGGTGACTTGAAACTAATCAAGATCATTGCAAATAGTTCTCGTCCCTTAATGAAGTCTCCACTCTTCCCATACATCTGATTCTTCATGGACATGTCATACTTCACTTGCATGGATTTGTCCCCAGCATTGTCGATGACCTTCCTCAAAGCATTGGAGAGCTTAGCGTCTATGGATTGGAATCTTACCTCAGGTGCTTTGGCTAACGTTTCCAAGTCCGGTTGATCTGTGAGACATGGGGCTAGCCACGCTTTCCAATCTTCATAATGTCGATCTCCACTTGCAACACAAACTTCATGAACGACACTTCCCTTCCAAGATGAAAGCTCAGTGGTCTTAGGCCAAGGTTGTAGGTTGATCTTCTCTGCTTCTCTTTGAGAGATAGAGGATTTAGACTTGTCCTTCTCGAGGTTCTCCAATTCAATGACGTTGGTGTTGTACTCGTTCCTGAGTTTCTCAAAAGCTTCGGCTTCGGCACGAAACTCTTGTTCTTCATCATTGGCACGATCTTCAGCTTGGGAAAAGTTATTCTTGTAGTGGTCCTTACGCTCTTCCATCTTCTTCAGTTCGTCACGGAGAGCGTTGACTTCTGACTTCTTCTCTTGCTTCATCTCTTCCAGTTCGGCTTTCAATTTGGCGCACTTCTCTTCACATTCATTCCTGGGAAAAGCATTGTTGGACGATCCATACATTATAGCTTGCAGGTTCTGTGCAGAAGAAGAAGCGGCCTGGTTCTCGAGCTTCAGTGCAGCGATGGTATTCGACATTTCCTCCACTTCTGTCTGACGTTCACTGACAAGACGGTGCATCTCTGTCAGGTGACTTTCAGGAATAGAATAATCTGTTGCTCCCTTGATGATGAGTCGTCTATCGTTCAGCATGCTGATTGCTTTGTTGGCATCTCGGTGAGCACGATCAAGAGACTCTTCCTGTGTCGCGACTTCAGTGTTGAGTCGGTTGATTGCCTCATCTCTGTCACTGATCTCATTGTGCAATGCATCAAATAGGTTACTGGAAGTGTTTGGATGAGTACTCATGAAGTCGATCCTTCCCAAAGCATCTTGGTATTTCTTTCCAAGCGAATCGTATGAGCTTTGATAGGTTTTGAGCAGTGCCTCACTGTCGATAAGCTCAGCTCTAGTCCTTCGCAGCATAGTGTCAACGTCATCCTTGGATTTCATGGCCTTATCATGCTCACCACGCCAATGATTATACATCTCATAGTAAATCCCATGTGATGGAGAAACACTCGGAGATGCATGTCTTGCTTGTTGGCATGAAAGTTCATGATACTAATTCTTCGATTCAGTCAGTTGTTGTTGCATCCGATCCAAAAGGCTCTGTTTCATATGTAGTTCAGATCGCAGTTCCATGATCCTCATATCACGCATCCCGCTCACCTTAGAGGTCGACTCTTCAGAATACCGATTTTCCGATGTAGCCAGTTGTGACTGTAGCCCTTCATTGCGGATAACCTGTAATTGAAGTTGTGATTCCTCCAGAGCTAGATGGTGTTCACATTCAGAGTATCTGTTGTGTTCGGATCTTAGGTCATTACGAAGTTCTCTCATGATATTTTCCCTCTTTGCATCAGCAGAATCAAGTTCCGTTTCCAGCCGTCTGATGTTCAATGACATAGTGCTCTTCATCGTTTGGTTCTGGTTAGCAATCTCGAGCATCTCAATGTGAAGTGCACACGTTCGGTCATTGGCATATCCAACAGCTAGGGCTTCCTGCTTCGCATTCATCTCTGCGTTTTCCAGTTCCAATCTGAGTTGATTGATGTGAGCATTTGCGTCTGTACCTACATGTACCATGATTGCATTCGCTTGTCCCATTTGTTCGTTAAATTCAGATCTCAATTGTGAATATCGAAATTCCAGATGAGATGCTGCTTCACTTGACATAGTTCGATATCTCTCCAACTCTTCAATCCTGTAAGTTGCTCCTTCATCTTCTTGTTGTGCGGCGAGCAGCTCAGAGTTCAGGGCTTGAAGTTGTCGAGCCATCGATGTCATCTCGTGATGGGTGGTGTTCTGCAGATAATTGAATTGTTGGTCAGCATAGGCAGCCATTTCGGTTAATCTCGCCTGAAGCACAGATTCTTCTTCAGTAGCCCTGTCCAGTGATGCTTTGTACTCTGACAGTTCACTCTGATAGGCAGTGAAGACATCGCTACCACTTGATGGAACATGCACTTGTTGAAAAGATCCTACTCCTGATGGTGTAGCGTCCTGAATCGGTGAAGGCGGATTCGAAGATGTAGGCTTCGCCTTAGTCCTCGGAGTCATCGGAGGCGACGATTGTCGTGCGGACGATCTCCTCTTTCCAGGTGTATTGTCCCTGTCTTCGATTGCTTGCATTGTCGGCATTAATCTCCCTCTCGGGGCAACCAGAGGTCGTCTGGATGTGCTAGGTTTCAGTTCTGAGGTTTCGCTTCCACCAGTATCGAAGCTCTGTGAAGAATTCGACTGCGTGCCGGCAGCTGGTGCGGCGGCATGTCCAGCAAATGAGAATGCGTTGTCGCTGCTGTCCTCTTCAGCCATTGATTGTAAGGTCCGCAGTTACCCGCTCGCAGGCTCCGTGGGAGTCCTACGGCTGATAACCTGTGAATCGGACGTTCCCTTGAATACGTCTGTTGTTTGCCGTTGGTGAACTTGTCGTTTCGTTTATCAATGATCAACCTGAGGCGTGCGGCAGCATTGCTCTTATTTTGCGGGAGCTGTGCAGTATGGGATCTTGAGCCAAAGGACCAGCGGTTTTGTGGTCCCCTGACATGCGGGTGAACGACTATATACATGGGGGAATACATATGGTGTTCTTACTGTGTCCCCATTCGCATAGATAGATATAGTTAGATAGAGATAGAGATAGATATAGATAGATAGATAGATAGATAGATAGATAGATACTTGCAAATAGGTGGGTGCATAATGTGCATATACAAAGTATCTTTTGTTCGCATGCATGTGTATATTTAGAATCTGGATATATCTTTAGCCATTGCCTGTCTATCTACACAGTTAAGCAAGCTGCCTAATCATGTATCTATGTCTATATATAATCAAAAAAGATCCCTTGATTTGATGCACTGGCAGCAATGCAGTCAATGAGTGAAAACAGTAATTTCTTGAATTCCTTGAACATTAATTTATGTGATTGAGTAATTGAGTGAGGATAAGTTGTGTTGGCCAAAGGGGTTAACTGGCGAAGCAGCACAATGGTAAATATCTGTCTGGCCTATAAAGCAGCTAAAGGAGGGGAAAGAGCATACAATAACCAGATCATTAATATCATATGTGATAAATTAATATAAATTAGACTCTGTTGGTAGTAGCATGGTGTAATAATTATGCACCGAATATGCTACAAATATTAACTTACTAGTTCAGTAGTTTGTTTTGCAACAGTCAGCCTCTACATAGACATAAATCCATGCGATTATTTTTTTGGCACACATATCTGCATATAATGTATATGCATATGCACAGATAAACAATTTGACAATGATAAACATGTATGTCAGAATTTGGCACGACCGCAGCAATGATGCACCAATGTTTTCGCTATTGATCAATTCTTGTCGGAATTTCCTTTGGAAATTCAGGGAAACATCGATCGTTTTCGACGAGAGTGCCCATCCCGGCTGACTGCCCAATTACTTCTTGATTTCGCCTTGGCATAAAATGGAAATATGGAAGGTTAAAAGTTCTCAGCCCCAGCCCACAAGACTTGTAAGTTTGATTATTTCCCCACATCACCAGGACAAGCAATATCTTGAACTCAAGCAAGGGGTTGCTTGGCAGTTGCGCTTGAGTCATCTGTCAAGCTGCTTCGGGCATCATGATCTGCTGATGTGCAATGGTAGTTTGGTGCGGGGGGCCGAAAACCTGAAATGTTGTATGTACGGAAGGGATGTACCAAATGGTCCCACCAAACACATCTGCTGGATGCCACCGCTACAGCAGCTGCCAAGGTCAAATCACCTCTGGCAGTTGGATGGAGATGTATTGATTGGAATTTATAATTGTGTTGACAGCCAGAATTCCTCTCAGTTCCTGTGGGCTCCTATAAAATATCATATCTCAGCTACACATCCCCATCCACCATGTCTTTTACCTCATCAACCATGTCTTCAGGACGGATGGTGGGTCTATATTGGGCACCAGCCTCAGTGCCGACCTGGAAAAAATCATCAGACATCACCCGACTTCGACTGCCGGAACGACTGGTTCTGCAGCTGGACTGGCCCTCGACCTACCGTCTGGGAACAGCAAGGACGTGTCAACCAAGGGGGTGGCCAAATACCTGGAAAATCATGATTTTGGATGGTCAAATGCGCAAGTTTCACCAATCTTCTAGATGTTCCTCCATTTCTTCTTGGAACCAACTTCCATGAATCTTGTGAAACTTACTCGTAGCAACCATTCGCAGGTGACTACTTGCTGATTTTGGCAGGCCTGCCACCACTAGGAAACAGACTTGATGGCTGAGCTTTGGCATCCCAGTTGTGACTAAAGAACTAAGTTTATCGGTCTATCTAAGTCTGGTCCAAACCATCCAAACGACGCAAATACATCAGCACCACTTGGGGGTGCAGTTGGGGTCATCAATTTATATATAACTATATAATCATTAGAATTACTAATAATTACCCCCATCAGTTGGGATACAGCCCGTGTAGCCATGATTATATACCCAATCATCTCTGGAACTGCACCCTTAAGAGTCCTTAAGTACTGTTTTTCCTCAGTGGTGCAATACAATCGAAATTCCAGGCATGGCTTACCTGGTGGTACTTCACAGCTTCAACTGACATCCTTTGACCAAGCGGCGTGATGAAGGCCCCCTTGATCCTCTGGCAGGATGATGTCTCTGGTGTCATTGCTCGGCGGGGCCAAGCATTGGTTGCAAGCCTCCTGGTGGGCAAAGAAAGATACAGGAACCTCCAAGTAGGAATTGAACAGAATAAAACAACAGTAATAGCAGAAACAACTACAAACATGATTGATATGATCAGCAATCTCGAAGAAAAAAAATCAGTCCAACTGGTCAGGAGCGTACGAAGTTTGCTTACTATCATCTTGCCAAGGAAAAAGTACCATGTTTAAGTCTATATTGTGGAAACCTGAGAAGGGGGGACGAAAGCCAGCCCCTAGCCGGATTTGTTTGGTCTGGCCTTCCTCCATTTTTGTTACTTCCAGCAACAAGAAGCCTTTTTAAAGCACATTATCTATATAATATATATATATATAACACAACTTCCCTGCGTGTTACTTTTTTTTCACACTTGTCCTTGCTTTCAACCCTTCGCCACTCCTTCCTCGGTATCACTCCTCATCCCCTTGCAAACCGTCTTGCTCCGAACCCCAACGGACGCTGCTCTCCGTTGAGCTTCGGATCCTTAGTTTTTTCAATATGCTTCCCTCTATGTTCCTAGTTTTTCAAAGCTTTGCCTTTCTTCCATTTCATTTTTTTTTCAAACCTTTTCCTGAGTTTTCCTACGGTTTTCCAAAGTTTCCTTCCTGCAATTTCCTCATTTTCCCAACGGTTTCCTCGATTTTCCTTGGTTTTTCCAAGCTTGCCATTCATTTTTTCCTCCATTTTCATGTTTTTTTTTTCAACATGTTCTTCCATTGTCCTTTTTTTGCAACCCTTCGCCACTCCTTCCTCGGCAACACTCCTCATCCCCTTGCAAACCGTCTTGCTCCGAACCCCAACGGACGCTGCTCTCCGTTGAGCTTCGGATCCTTAGTTTTTTCAATATGTTTGCCTCTATGTTCCTAGTTTTTTCAAAGCTTTGCCTTTCTTCCATTTCATTTATTTTTCAAACCTTTTCCTGCGTTCCCACGGTTTTTCCAGAGTTTCCTTCCTGCAATTTCTTCATTTTCCCAACGGTTTCCTCGATTTCCTTGGTTTTTCCAAGCTTGCCAGTTTTTTCCTCCATTTTGATGTTTTTTTTTCACAATTTTCCTCCATTTTCCTCCATTTTCCTCCGTTTTTAACGGTTTTCTTTCATTTTCCTTGGTTTTTTCCTACCTTTTTCCTTCCGTTTTCAGGGGATATAGGGGGAATCGACCCCACCGTCACCAAATTGCCTAGTGGTACATGCCCCCAAAAAAAAATCCAATTGGCCACCCTTATCACAACCCGATATCGAGATTTCGCAATACTCACTTCGTTCGCGAAAACAACTTTGCCTAGCCTATCGGCTGGCTTTCGAAAAAAGATAAGAGGTGACTTGCAAAGCAAAAAGTGAGCGAATGCTTCCAAACCTTGCCCAGGCCCAGGCCTACAAGAAATTGACAAGAGCAAGTTACACCAAAGGCAGAAAGCCACAAAAACTATTCAAATGTTCGGCCATTTTCGCTTGCTTGACGCTTGCCCATGTTTTCTGCATTCCGCCCCCTAAAGCACTTTGGCCATCGGGGATGGAGTTGCATGGCTGGTTCATCGTGCAACAAAAGCCATAGCAAAGCATAGCATGGTCAGGTGAGGTGAGGTGACCCGAGGTGAGGTATGGTATGATGTATAAATAGAAATATATATAATATATATGCATATATATATAATTATGTATATATATCTCTCTCTCTCTCCATCGCCATCTCCAAAGAGTTCAGCTTATTGGTATGTAACTGTCCATTTTTCCCAGCAGAGATCAGCCATGATCAGTCCATGTCCAAAACATTTGGCAAAGCACCCCTATTGATTGTCCTCAGCTGTCTCTCCTGAGACTATTCTTGGGGCAACAAAAGCCTTGCAACTTTTGAATCCTCCTGCAGCCCGGCAGCCACACGCCCGTCCTTGGCGCAACTGATCACCAATTCCTGAGATGGCACAGCATGCTGTGACCATCGTGCAGGCATAAAGAAAATATTTTTAAAAAAAAACATGGCCGCTCATCAGGATGAGACCTAACTTAGAACGACTGCGATAGCAAAAGGTATCAACAGGTGGAAAGAGGTGGAAGATGGTGGAAAGCATTCTGCATGCCAATCCTACGCGTCTCATCAACTGGGTTGGCAGCATCATGCAGCATCCGTCACCAAGGCTTTAATCAGCTGCTCTGTGAGCGGGCGTACAAAATGTACAAATATGATCAAATATGCTGCATGTTTGAGTTTTGCAGGTTAGAGATGTTGGACCAAAAAGAGCCAAGGCAGATGTCACAATTGAGTTACAAGCGCACAACATGCCTACAGCTACGCACTTGGGCGGCTAGCTACGTAAGACACCTGTTGGCATATGCTCGGATACAGATAAAGAAAGGCGAGACCTCTGTTCCACAGGTCACACTTGCAGAAACCGCATTTGCCAACTAGCGTTTTTCTCTTTCACATGTTGACTAGTTCTGCATGTGCCTGTTACTGCTGCAAAACTCATTGCGTAATAGGAATTATAAAAGTAATTAAGGGATATTAATTAAGGGTAATGAAGTCTAAAAACAGGCTCCAGAGCAGAGCCACAGGAGGCAGCTGGGACCACAGCAACAAGACAAAGACCTGCAGAAAATCAGGTCTATTCAGATCTTGGATGTTCAAATTGCTAAAGATCGATGTGAACAGCGACGGCCTCACAAAAGCCTACTTTTTTGGCAGGGTGTGTGTTCTCTCGGATTTGTTCGGCCTCAAAGTGCCAACATGTGCCAGGCCCCCAAACCGCCAAAAAGCCTACGATGCATCAATCAGTTCAATCAGCCACAACAAATAAGCGTATGGAAGGCCGAAGGCGAGGCGCGACAACTGGTCTTGGGATTGCACAGTGTGTCCGCGCATATGTGTACATGTGTATATATATATACATCTCTCTCTCTATCTCTCTCTCTCTCTCTCTCTGTGTATGTATATAATAAGCGGAATGTACCAGCACAAGGAGTTGGGACATCCCTCCCTGCCCCAGGGGCAAGAATATCATCTGCAAGGGCCATGGATTGCTCAGACTATGCCAAGCTTCATCGACATAAATTCGAGAGATACACCGTGACAACACCGCCTGACCCTCAGCAGTTCCTGGCCAGGCGGTTCACAAGTTGAGGCAATACATGGCAATACTGAATCATCTGAATTTCTGAAAAGTCCCCAATCACCATATTTCCACCAAGTTCCCACACAGAGAAAAAAGAATAAGAAAAGTTAATAGCCCTTTTCGCGCCATTTCCTACTCACCCTGCCACACGTGCGCCAGGGCAAATGCATCCAAATCATCTCCAGATTTGCCATGCCATCCCGGCACACTGGGCCTTTGAAACGCTCTACTTCCTCATCATGCCTTGGAGCATATCCCAGGAGGCCCCTTTCTTCAGATGTTCCACTATGGAAGAAAAGAATCGGATTGCAATGGAGATGTCGCGTCATGTCACGTCCACTGATGTCCGTGGCCGGTTCTATGTTTCTAGTCCTTCTCTGAGCTTCAGGAACACATAGGGACACCTTTCAGCCTACCTGGGGAAAGCCAGGGCACAGCCAGCCACAAATAATCAGTTTCTGTTGATCTCCATGCGGCAAGCCAATCAAATCCTGAGCGTCTGAGTCTGGTTCCCACAACAGATCTGATCCGTTCAGTTGGTCCTTGAGCTGGTTTCTGAATGACGTACATGTGGATAATTATATTGCTTACTGAGCGAGCGTATTGGCATACTCCAGCCTACAACTACAGTACATGAAACATACTTGATATACTTGGATTGTTCAATAGGCCTAGCAAGAAAAAGAGAAGCAGCATCTTGCTGATCCAAAGGTCATGAGTTTCTGCGAAGTAGGCATCGGATTCATCAGTCGCTCCCAAGTCGGCGGATTGTGAAAATGACCTCAACTACTTCGGACAGCCAGGAACTGTCAGGTTTTTTGAGTGAGGTGCACAATTCATGGAGTCCTGTAACGTTTAGCCGCTTAGCTACTTACTATCTGTGTAAATGGCTGCAGGCCATTGCATGCCCCAAGAATCTGCTTCGATCAATTCATACTTGAAAGATCTTGAAAGTGTGACGGGACAGACCGCTGCAGGCGTGGTGCTTGTTGTTGGGCTTCATCCTGAAGCGTGATACCCTCTGCTTCTGACGCGCAGGCTTCCCATCAGCTTGTAGCCCT